ATGTGCTGTGGAATAATATGACTGTATTTTATTCTAATCGTGGTTATAATACCTATCTGGAGTTTTGTTTCTTTGACCGATGTTTATCGTTAAATACCGGTTGCAAACTAGTTGAGCCGACAAAACGTCATTCTATGTAAACCACGCTTCATTACGCTTGCTGACCACGCCAGCCGGACTACGTGCTTATCTAAAAAACGTAGGGCAAACCCTGTAAAATGGCTAAACCTAGATTTCTAGGACGCAATAAAAAAAAACATTATAAATAGTTATTGATTGGTGTATCGATTCTTATAAAAAACCCTCTAAAGCAAATTAAACCGATATTATCGTGTTAAATTACGATACTTCAGTAAAATTAATTTTATTAGCTTTTCAGCTAGCTGGCTGGCTGCCAAGTTTTTCACGGAAAACTAGCAAAGCTCTCTCGGAAAATCCTAGGTGCATCCGGGTCATTCGGCGTCGGATAAACCCTTTTCTTCAGCGCGCGTGATACTAGGCAAACAGCGGGCTCGAGGAGCTGTAGCGACATGCCGCGTAATGTCTAGTCATAAGAGCGAGCAAGATAGACTTATCGCTGGAATGCTACTGTCAGAGTGAGACAGTACGGTGAAGGTCAACTGATAGCGTTCACAGTGTAATTTGATACAAAGATATATGTTTAACGAATTTATTTTTGACGACACTTTTTATTCATCAATTGCACGTTTTGAATAACTATTTCATGTGAACTATTTATTTTTATTTATTTAATTTGATGTTTATTGAAATAGAACTAACGCATATTAAATTATTAAACTGTTTTAACTAGCTTATTTACATGAGTATTTTCTCTGCAACTATGCACTACACTGTGTAATATTTAACCACAAAAAGAGACACCGTGCTAAGCAGGAATGAGATAGAAGGACCAGCACGTGCTTCCTTTCGTAATCCTCTTTTTGCCTCCTCGCGCCACTGCCGCGCCGCTCCGATATTACATCTCATGTGGGAATTTGTTTCGTGAGAAATGGCCGTTCAGTTTTTTTTATTTAGTTAGCTTTTATTTTTTATTCCTAAACTTTTTTGTGGTTTATTTATGCAAATTCAATGGTGCTTAAAATTAATGATATGGGCCCGTCCATAAATTACGTCACACAAAATTCATGATTTTTTAAACCCAGTAGTCACACAGTTAATAATAGACAAGTAGACCCTGACAAAGATAGCAATTCCTGACAGTGCTAGGAGCTGATCGGACATTTTCATCACACACATTGAATCATAAGGTTACAAACAGTTTCAAGCCAAAAACTAAAAATTATAAACAATAATCACATAGCAAAAATATACGATAATATTCAACCAACTCTGTATAATTCTGCCCACATTCTTGTAAAAAAACTTGTAAAAATCTTGGAATTCATATAGACAGTAACTTATCGTAGAACACACATATTATGGAAGTAAGCAGGAAAGTTTTATTCTTTTCAATCTTTAAAGCGTCTTCAGAAGTTTCTTCCATTCAATATCAAACTAAAGCTAGTTAAATCTCCTCTTTTACTTATCATAGATTATGCTCACGTTTGTTACCTTAATGCGACGGAGGAACAGCTAAATAAACTCGAGCGATAGCAGATTTGTATATCCGTTTCAATTTTGGACTACGTAAGTACGAACACGTCTCCAAATTCAGATCTAACAACGATATTTAATGATTTCCATAGATCATCATCAGCCCTTTAACGTCCCTACTGCAGGGGCTCAGGCCTTCCTTATGGATGGCTAAGGAGTATGGGCCATGACCCTCCACGCTGGCCCAATGCGGATTGGAGGGTATTGACGACTGCAAATGCAGCCGGGACCAACGGCTTAACGTGCCTTCCGAAGCACGGAGTAGCTCGAGATAATATTTTTTTGGTCACCCATCCCGTGACCGACCCTTGCGAAAGTTGCTTAACGACAACGATCGCGTGCCGCGGCGCTTATCCACTACGCCACCGAGCTACTCTTCTTTCCATAGATGTTTGATTTCCATAGATGGGTAATGCTAAACGTCGTAGTTTCACAGTTCTACTGAAGCAGTGCGACTACTTGGATAGAACTGCGAAACTAATTACGTTCGTGAAGTAGTAACACTTACGGACGTTATTATAGCATTATTACGGCACATCTGTTATCCCATTTGGTCAACAACTCTGATTGATCCAGCGCTCTGGCTTTAGCAAGATTTGTAGTTTAGATTCAGATGAATCCATACCCAATGAACATCTCTTCGCTAAAATGTATTTTTTGGTTGTACAGAGGTAGCTGTAGAAAAATGTACTTGATAGTAATGTCTTTCAATCAATACATAAAAATATTTTTCATCAGAGACATTGATAAGTTGCAAAAAGTTAAGTGTGATACTACTATCATTATTAGAACGGAATTGGTTTTTTATTTTGCGACACACATCACATACACAATTTACATACAGTTTACAAATATGACAAAAATAACAACAAAAAAAAGAAAAAACATAATGAAGACACTGAAATAATAATTAATGTGTCATGGTGTGTGTCGCCAAGCTGGCTACAGCTCAGCATGAGCTCTGATATTCTGCAGAAACCAGCAATGGCAATACGGACTATTTTACGACCATAAAATAATATTAATAATAAACTTTATTTGCATTTCCAACAACACATTCTAACTTACAAAGAAACAGAAATAAAATGAAAAACAAGAAAATATGTCGGTTGTGTGTTGCAGCAATGCAAAAGGGTCAAAGCTCAGGACACGATTTGCCTACAAGGAGGCAAATCACTGATATTCTGCCATAACCCTAAGGAGTATGAGACGCCAAAGCGCCGTCTGTTAAAGAAAATTTCGCATTAAAATATATATATATATTTATATATGTATAAAATATACTACTATTACTGATATTATAAATATTATACAACTTCTATAATGTTCAATGAATAATTTATTATAAGTGTCTCTTGCCTCGAGTATTTATCTATTTTTTCAAGTCCATTCGATTGTTTTCTTTATCTTTTCAATATCCCTCGTGTCCTAATTCAAAATATTACAAGACACACAAAATAATAACAGTATCTATCTGTTGCCACTATTGTTGGAACAATATTGGGCCCCAATCCGGAATCAATAAATTATAGCTTAGGTACTGGTCGATGGGGTCAGCACGCGGACTCGCGCAGGCGGTCTGTGCAGGTCATTGCAATGGCAAACTGAAAACAAATGAAAAGCCATTGAAATGCCATAATTATATGTTTAAATAATAAAGGTCCATAATGTGCTGCTGTGTGTTAAGCATAAATACCGAGTGTGTGTAGTAACAGAAAATAAGGATATTTCTGTTTCGTTTGTCGAGTTTTACTTATCAATGTATGAGATAGATGATGACATCATTGTTCATCTATTGCACTGTGTAACAAACGATAAAATCAATCATTACTCACAAAAAAATAAGAATATAAGGAAAACGATAACATTATATTCATAACATTATAAATTACCGTTTTAGTTGAGGCCGTTTGGTGAGGTTCTATCGAAATCAGTACTTCTGTCCCTAGTGATTTCGCTATTATCTATGGCGTGTATTGTTTCAAAAACGACTTAGGCAATGAGTACAAATATAAATTATTTTTATTGACATCGAGTTTGAATATGACTTTGTTTGTTGAAAATCTAATATTATCCAAATCGTAATGAATAAGTAGGTACTTAAGTTTGACCATACAATTTGGTAATCAAATCAGTTGTTAAAGAATCTGCTGGTAATGAATTACAAGAATCTATCTATTAAAAAACCTTCATGGTGTGCTCTTTTAGTCAATATAAATTCTCAAATAAATGTTACGAAAACTAAACAATGCCATGACTTGTTGTTAATTTAAAGTAATATTTGCAACTTTACAATTTCTTGTTATTGAATTTGATCAGTCGAAAAAACAAAATAGCCATATTACCATAATACCATAAACCTAATCTTATAATTTAATCCTTAGAAATAATAAGAATAGAATGGAATCCTGACAGCCTTCCAAATACTTCGGAAAAGTTAAGATATTCAATAAAGCTTCAAATATTAAATATACCGATTCATACAAAGATTTTAAATACCAAATACCGATTCTAAATATCAAAGGCAAATAGTAAACCTGTTCACATCACACAAAGTTGTTCTAACGTTGCCCACATTAATTAAGCACCATTAACTGCACAAGTATTCACTTTAGACGCTACATAGATTTTTTTTACTCAGGCCAACGGTCGAAACGGATCATCGACTGTTATATTAATGAACTAAATAAATTACAATTTAAATTAACCCGCTTACTGGCAACCGGTTGTCGACTCGTAGCCAGTGTAAATGGACCGTTGATAGTATGAAACTCGAACGGTCGTTGTTTTTAGGCTTGTTTAAATAGTTTGGAGCTGTTTCTAAGAATTTTGCTTTCAGATTTTTTTTTATTTTTATTTCTATACTAATTTGAATAATACGTATATCTTATACTAGATCCATAATGAAAGCAATTATTATGGTTCACGCAAAATTTTGAACAGTAACATTTTTTAATTCTATTGTTACAATAGGAGAAAAATTAAAATTTTTGTCACAGGAAAATGATTTTTAATTGAATTAAAAGCTTTGGTTAAAAAATAAAAATATGCTAGGCCGACGTAACGTATTTCGCACATCGTTTATCTGTTTTCAATCATGGTCCCTATTTTATTTCGGGTTCGCCTCGGTTGTATTATTCATCAACGTTGTCGATATTTCTAATGCTAGTGTTTTATGTTGTCATTATTCAACCGATAAATTATGTCTATGTTAAAGTTTCACTGGAATAACGAACATTACTGTGTAGAAATTTAATGCGGACCGTCGAAGCATCCTCTAATTGAGAAATGTTGTGATAAAAACGAGTCGGTTATCCATCAACGTGCAGATTATTAAATGTAATTAACACACTCAACATGTGCGCCGCACGTGTTACTCATTGCAGGCGCGACGTCATACTGTTGTCATCCCGCAGACGCGGCGCAGGCGGCCATGACGGTCGGCGTGGCGAACGTGCTGTGCGACGACCGCCCCACGCCCCTCGCGTGGCCCGCGCCGCCCGCCGCCCCTCCCGCTCCTCTCTGGCAGTACCCAACCGGTAAGACACACCTCCTACGTCGTCATGTTCGCCTGGTAGCTACGCGCCAACTGCATTGCGAGACCGCGCACACTCAATCCCGCCTATTTCGTAACAACACCTCCGGAGTCATGCTGCTTTGGTAGCGGCATTGCAACTGTACCCCGTCCGGTCAATAGTCGTTGACCGGTCGGGCTTATGCGACCGATTTTGGTAGGCTGGAAACTTGATGATCGTTGGGTGTTGAGGCGTATCATTTTACTTTGTCCGAATTGTGATGCCGCGTTCGCGCGCAGCTACTTGGCGCCACGTTCTCTTGTTTTTTTTTTGTTTTATTAATGAAACTGGTGTTTCATGGTCATAGAACATTTTTAGTTGATTGTAGGCTAGATAGTTTAGATTAGATTTATATGTAAAAAAAGTAATATATCCATTCCTTTTTTATAAATATAAATAAATTGTTATATTAAAAAAGGTTCTTAATAGGAAAATAGGGTAAGTATGAATCTACCTTTTATTTGTAAATTTGCATAACTATTTAACTACCTAGGTACCCGTTTCTGCAACTTTCATATTATTTTCACGTGAAATATATTTAAAATTAAATTTTTTGTTCGCAATGTAATTTGGTCCAGTTTATCAGTCCTTATGATCACTATTTAAAGATATAATTTGATAAGAAGTAGGCATTAAACTTGATTTTGAACCTTATTACAATATGGTATTGTACAAACTTGCGTGGAGATAAAGCCAGTCTTAATAATTCGCAAGCGCGTTTTATCAGCCTCTTGTAATATAAAATAAAGTGTTTTATTATGTTTAGTTCAAATAGAAATATTTCGATATGGCTATTTCGTTTTTAAATCACAGCAGAGAAGCCCTATTAACCTTCTATCTGTTGAAAATTGGTTTTAACCATTTAACTTCGTTATATTAAAAAAAAAAAGAAGAGAAATTTGATTTCTCCTCAGTCATCTATGGAATTAACGAAAATCTGTTAAAAAATATTTAAATTATAATACAAAATATAATCCGCGCGAAGTAACTAGTTAGATACTTATTTGAAAGACAAGTATGCAGGTATTAAACTTTTCAATATGTTTTTTATTTAAATCTATTTCGATTGTATATATAAAATGTCGATAATGTTAACGACAGTTTTAATGTGGAGTGTACATTAAAAAGTAAAATAAATAAGAGAAAATATATATTTTTAAAATTATTAATATAGTCAATATAACAGTAAAAACAATTAAATCATATTTTTAAATATTATTAAATATAGGTATATATAAAGACTTGGGTATTTATCTAAAGGAATAGCTGTATTCTACGGGTAGGTAGGATATTTACAAATAACAACTTTTTCCTGATTCAGGTACCTAAACAAAAGTTTGAAACGTATAGAATAGAATACTTGGAATATATTTTTCATGGTTAGTAGTGTAGGGTAACTAAACAGTAATGTATGTATTTTTTTGTTAGTTGAATTAATAAAATAAAAAAATACTATTCGGTTTTTTTAAATGCTCTCCATATAAATAGTGTTTCCATTGTGACCGGTTCGATCTTTAGCTGAATGAATAAAAGGCAGATGAAGCTTGAAAATTTTATTTATTAGAGGTTAATAAGGAAAACTGTAACAAACAAAAAAAAAAACGGAAATACAGTTCGAATGATTACCTAAATACCTATATATAATTACAAAAGTTAAATAGAACAGTTACATACCCCGTTTCTGGGTTTTTCCGTAATAGGTAGAACTTATTACATATTTCACGAATATATACGTTTACATTTTTCTTATTTAAATTATTATAACTTTATTATTATATGATTAAATTATCATGTTCTCACCAGATGAATTTTTTTACGAATTGACATTCATAAAGAGCATATTGGATTACTCAAAATTTCAAATTACGATAAGTGAATAATAAAAAGAAATGATGTTGAAGATCAGAGACAAAAAGGTTGCATACGGAAACCTAGGACTAAATTACAGCATAATGTATTAATACATACCTGTATGCTACGCATAAGACTAAAAGGTTGGTTATCTATTGAGATATTAGAGACCGCATTATCGAAAAGTTAAAAATGAAATGAAGTTAACGAGAATTTCTGAATGATCCAATAATTTTGTTTATTGTTAAAATAGAGATGGGCCGACTACCTGTTTATCTATAATCGGTATACTCGGTTACTATTCGATTCGACTGATTAATTAGTTTCAAATGTCCGTACTTAAGTATTTATTTAATAAAAATAAATAATATTAACTAAGTATTTGGATCTACGCATAAAGTTATTTCAAAGAGTATTTATGGAGCTAATAAATGTACAGTTTTAGTTTGTAGATTTTTCTTTTAGAACAATCATAACGATAACTTCATACCAGATCGCAGGCGAGAGAAATGTTGTTGAACTTTGACTTTTTAATTATAAAATATACTCGCTGTGCCCGCGAATGGAAAGTAACCTAAGTTACCCTTTATTACATAAGCTTTCTACCAGTGAAATTCCCGTTAAAATAGGTTCAGCAATTAGCCTGAATAAACAGACAAAAAATGATATTTTTGTATATGTACTGTGTACACATACATATCTATTAGTGAAAAGCGGTTATTTTAATATTACAAATAGAAACTCCCATTTTATTTATTTGTTTAGATATATAATTATGTATGTAGATTATTTTTGCAGAGTACTTCATTATTATTAATCACTACACAAAAAAGACATATATACCTTTTTTATGATAAAATTTTAAGGTTACCCGATCAAGTAATTTATTAGGATTGAGTTACATATGGCAACACGGTATCGCGTTTTTCTATCGCCCTATCCTTTCCTGTCACTCAGAATTGCCATTTGCTTGACCGAGAAAGAGAGCTCCGCTGAATCTTCGAGGCGGTAGGCAACATGTTATCTTTCTCGCTCTAGCAAATGGTGAATCTGAGCGATAGTAAAGGAAAGGACGACGGAAAGACACGATATTACGCTGCCAGATGTAGTATCCTAAGGTTCTTTTATAGCCATGAATATATGTGTCAGAGGGCTTAGTACGGTTTTAGTATGGAATCCGGTACAGCGCCACTAGTGGTAACTATCAAGAACTACAAATCTCCATACAAAGTCTTGACGTAGTCACTAGAATGTAAAACTTACGCTTACCACTTTGAGCCATCAGCATAGAACAAGAACTGAGCGTAATAGTAATCTAACACTCGTAAAAAAGAAAGATTTCACTGTTTGTTTGTTTGCATCGAATAGCCTCCGGAACTACTGGACTGATGATAAGATGATATATGTTAAAACAACTAGTTGTACGACTGCCATCAGAAACTCACCGCTGCATGTAAATTTTGCCTATAGGTACCGAAATTGACAAGTTTCTGCAATTTTTTTAAAACACCTACCAAATGGAGTTCTAAATGAAGCGACTTCTGAGTTTTTACATTTTGTGGGAACATGGCGTGGGTTGATATTACGTGTTTCCGATGTGGAGTTAACATTACTTGAACAAGTAAATAATTTTTTCGGTCGTATTTTCTCATTCTAAACTGATTATTGTCGATGATAACCTTTTTTAATTTTTTTTTTACGAATAGGCCCTATATATTATGATTTACGACTGAAGTAATTAAAAAGCGAAGTAAATTTTATTTCAAAATTACAAGTTAAAGGCTAGCAGTCAGGTAGACAGATTATTACATTATAGGCATCACCAGCCCTTTTACGTCCCCACTGCAGGGCCTCAGGCCTTCCTTATGGATGGTTAAGGAGGATGGGCCATGACCCTCCACGCTGGCCCAATGCTATTGTACATTAATAGCGATCATACCTATTTAAATAATAAAAGGTAAAACATAAAAAAAAAACATCAAATTCCAATTATATTTTAAAAAACACCGGATATGTGGGTTAATAATAATCAACCGCTAAATTATCTCACCAAGAGTAACTGTCACTTCCACATCATAAATTATATCGGCGCTCAAATAAAAAAAAACGAGTGAAAATCGTAAAAACTTATCGATAAACAGCATTCGAACTACGGACACCCCTAAAACGCGGCGCTCCGCCTTCTAAGCACCGCCCACTGTGACGTCTCAGCCAATGGGGAGAAGCCTCGCCCAAAGGCGGACTCTGATCTCTGCCGCCTTGAATCTTTTAGTGCTGGGAATTAGTGCTTTTTTTTGATGTTTTTGTTATGGTGTAATGGCGATTGTTGTGTGCCGTTACGTATTTTAGATGGTGTTCAGGTTTTTTTGAGCGCTTAGCAAAATGTAGCAATTAGTAGATTGTTAAAAGTTAGTATTAATAAATAGAATTCTCATTAATTACTGTAGGTATCGTATACTGTTGAACCCACAGAGGCTGGGTATGCTTATAGCATTTTTTCTAAAATAATAAAACTTATAACTTAAGAAACTTGAAAACTTTGAAAATTATGATGATTGAGCTAGGTTCTTTTGTCGTTCAGACGGCAAAAATGTCTTAACTTGCCACTGTACTTATTGTATTGTAAATCGGGCTTTGACGCTGTAAATAAACTCACTTATAATTGGAGAATTTTCAAATCATAAAATTGAGGGGGCGTTATACCAAAAGACTCTCCGCCCCTGTCATTGCGCCAGGCAGTGAGATAGAAACGCGCGTTGAGCGGTAAAAGCGGATTCTAATTAATTACTCGCGAACTATTACGATTATTGTGTTGTAAAAAGCTATGTAAGTGTAGTTGTGTGATCGGTGCTAGCAATTAATTACTCAAGTAACATTATTTTCTATAACTAAGGCCTTTAGTTACCATACAGTGTTAAAAAAGATCTATAATAGTAACCTTTGACTGGTTATAGGTACTATAACGGTTTTCAACAAAGTAATTTTATACCATACAGTGATAAAAAAGATCTATAATAGTAACCATTGGGACTGGTTGTACTATAAAGGTTTTCAATAAAGCGATTTAATTTCTATAATATTAAGAACGTGTTATGCTTTTAAGTACAAATCAGTGATAAACTAAGGCCTATTTGGAGTTTACATTATTAAAACTTTTTGAAAATTCCATTGTACCGAATTTTGCTTCTTGGGCAATTAAGTAAATACTAAACGTATTATTCTTATGTAAGTTTGTTTTTAACAATTGGTCTTTCATTAATAAATAGGTATATATTGTTTTAAAACCTTTACCGTCTTATTAAACGAGGACTATCTTGATTGCCAGGCTTAAACTATTACTCGACAAAAATAAGTTAGCATGTCTCAATTTGTCGTTTACCCTTCTGACATTGTCAATTTGTTTTAGGCGGCTGATAGTTGAAACCTACTTTAGTGGTAGTTTATACTATGACGGGTAGGATAAATCGAAGTACTTATATCTGACTATGCGTCGTGAAATTATCAATCGCGGAACGTCAGACCTTGTACACTCGACCGATGATTCGTCATGTACTAACACATAACTCCGTGAGACGCTCGACGGATCTTCGGTTAGAGTTACACCGGCCTGTGAGCTAATTCAACTGCTAAAACGGTCCATCCACTGGCACATTTGTATTAACGAAAAAACCAAATCGTTTTTGGGGGTTCCGTAAATAATAAAAAAATGAGACCAGACGCTGTCCGTCTGTCAGCAGGCTGTATCTCATGAACTGTGACAGTTAAACAGTTGAAATTTTCTTTTGCCGTTGTCACAACAAATAACTAAAACCGAATAAAATAAATATTTGAGGGGACTCCCTTACAACAAATATAATATTTTTTCGTGCGCGAGTCCGTAACGGACTTGGCCGGTTTTTTTAATGATCCATTAGAGCGTTATTGGAATAAACGTCACATCCATCTGTCTCTTTTCATCCGATTAGAGATTGAACGTAAGCGTCGCATATTGAATTGATTCGACTCACTAGTGATAGATAGTATTGTTTACGTTACGTAAAATACCATGAATATATAATCGTAATTGATTTTTAGTTATAAAATGCTTAGTGCAACAAAAATACCTTTTATTTTTGAATGATTAAAGGTGATTAAGATTAAGTTGTAAAGTATTCATGTGATAAGGTTTGAAATTAAATATAGGAAACTCCGAGTGCGATTCGAATTATTATAAAGATAAAAATTATCGATAATCGCTCAACCCATCTCTACTAGGTATAAAAGGGAAATGAAATTCTCAATATAAAAATTTGAGACGATACGAGTTCGATTCGTCTATTCTAATATTATAAAGAGGAAAGATTTGATCGTTTGTTTGTTTTCATTGAATATGCTCCGAAGCTATTGGCCGATTTTAAAAATTTCTTTTATCTACGGGAAGCTACTTTTTATCCCACACAGGCTGAATTTCATCCCGAAAAACTGGAGAAGAAGTTTGTATAGAGGAACTAAAACGTTACTATAGTAACTATTGTTTAGTACTCAATTTGTCCGTCCGTAAATAATTATATCTTTATTTAAGCTGTGTAAACACACAGGAGTAAATAATCGTACTAATATTTAAGCTGGAGAAAAGCTGGGAACTAATATCTTTTCTGATTACGATATACCTACCTAGAATTCTTTGTAGTCCACATTCTTTTAATTAAACCTAAAAATCTCGAATTTATTTTAGTAATTTAATAAATATTAGTTGATACTAGTGAAAAGATAGATAGAAAATAATAATAAAAAACATGATTTATATTTTGTAATGGTTTTTTTCACGTATACTTATCTAAACTCAAAAACATATCGTATGGTATGACAATAAAAAGTAAATTAAAGACAAATATTTATATACTACTGTCTAGGGTTGATGATTTTTCTATTAGAGAAATACACAATTCTAGTTAATATGAGAATGGAAAATTTCTAAAAAGGAAAGACTTTTCGTGTTTGTTTGTTTGCATGTAATAGGCTCCGAAACTATTGGACAGATATTTGTTTTTTTTTTTTACCTACGAGAAGTTACTTCATACGCGGGTCACTTATAATGTAGAGTCGCAGGAAACCAGCTAATAACAAACAAATAAAAGAAGAATACATCGCCGACGAATGTATAACCTCCATTTTTAAAATTGCAGTCGGTTAAAAAACAAAACATCAGTTATTATCAGAGGTCGGAATTAGGTAGAGTTATTTATGTACTTGCATCGAAATGTTGATATTAATGTGGACCTTGCTGGGATTTCTTTATTTCTTTCTTTCATTGATGTAAGTTTGGCAACGTCGTGCGTGCAGTAGTTTAAATTTTGTAAAAGTAAATAACTTTTTATTTAAAAAATCACGGGAATTTTCTGCACTTTAAAATTAATCTCGGGATTTGAGGCATATCCACTTTATTCTTTCGCTGTATGAAATCAGTGTAAGTACATAAATAACTCTACCTAATTCTGACCACTGGTTATTATATTGTCCTAAATCTAGTTATTGCCCAAACAATACTATGACTATAGCTGCTTTAGTTAAATTTGAAACGCATTGTTTGTGCCCAACTGAATGGGAGATAATTTTTAATAGTTAATCGTTTGTGCCAGCCCTGTCAGGTTCATGGTCTGTTTATTTTTGGTGTCGTTCTGGGACGGTTCTCTTGTAATCTCCGTTTTGTTTTGTTCGTCCACCGGTTTAAGCAGGTATGCGTACATTACTAAAGTATGTGACGGAAGCAGAAAACGAGTTCATCAGATGGACATGTCCGCTGACAAGTCTGGTGACATGCCCGCCAGATCTCGCTACTCTAAAACTGTAATTGCACTCCGGCACTCGTATATATTTTCACAGTTCTAGAGTAGTGAAGTCCGGCGAACATGTTTGCAGATTTACAGAGAATTTGGTATTTTAGACAAAGATAAAATACTAGCTTTCCGCCAGCGGCTTCGCTTGCGTGGTCGCTACTGTATTGTTTATTTGGATATCGATTCAAATCATGACATAGATATGTTTACAATGACTAACTGAATAATGAGCAATGGTTACTATGGTAACGTTTTAATTCCCTATACAAACTGGCACTCTTTTTCATCCCTTTTCAATTTTTCCAACAAACAACCAAGTATTTCTTGTTTATATTAGAACCTATAGAAAAGATAATTCGATGATAATTCGTAGAGGTCAATCCGCATTCAGACCAATGTAAATGAGCCATAATAAAGGTAAATAGTGTGGTTATACCGCCCGCATCGGGTTCCACGTCTGTAAAAACTGAACTTTCGTAGCCAAGATCTTTTGGACTCTTTAGGCTAGTGATAATGGCTCCCCGAAAGAGGGCGCGAAGAACCTCGCATATGCCTTTAGGCCAATGAAAATTCATTGATAATTATATTTAACAACACACAATTAAACTACGATCATTAAAATTAGCATAGAAATAAACTGTCAAAACGGCTCGCACAACCCAAGCATTTTAATTTCATATCTGCTTTATAATCAGACACCTTATAATTAACTTTCTTAACAAGTATATTTTAATTGAAGATTTTATTATTTCATAAATGACCATCTTGCATACATTTACAGGTAAGATACCTTTGAAGATAAAGTTATCCGATAACCATGAACCGCACAAACGTTTCTAATGAATACGAAAAGGTTATTATTGAAACATTAACATCCCACCACAAGCTCCGGAAGCTCGCTAGCAGAATACTAATACTATAGTAGCACACAGAGTAACAATAATGCAGATAGTCTAATCTAGATGATTTAGGGTTGATACATATCTGTCGCAAGATATGTCGTATCATTTGCTTTAGGAACATGAGAACTGACAAATTATATGACATTCGACCCTGCGCTCTCGGGGAAAATTTCGTCGCGTGACAGATCTCCGATCTGCCCTGCGATTCTGTAACAATCCAGACCCGAATTCGAATTCACTGATGTGTCCGAATTCTAGTCATTTAGTAAAGAAATCCTATTGATTCCATTTTTTGTATAAAAATACTAAACAAAATTGACTGATTAAACGTGTCACAGATATTTTAATCCTATATCATTTCAAAACTCACTTCACTTATTTCACGAAACATTATTACCAATTCAAGTTTGAGCGGATGCCGCTTTTTGAAGTGAATTCGGACACCCGAGTGATTTCGAAATCGGGTTTGAAGTTTTACAGAATCGCAGGGCTGATTTGAACACTTGAATCTCTTGTTCTGTGGCGGGCCGGTGGTTTGTTGTTGCAACACATTAAATTATAACATTATTCAATATAATAATAGATAAGTTCAGGGTTTCTAAAATGTTTTTGTTTTTTTATTTAAAGACATAAAAAACGTGCTAGTCCCACGTAGCCTAATCTTTCTGTTTAACTGTTAACTTAAGTTTATATTCTTATAGAGTACAATTATTGACGACAGACCATTATCATATCACAAACTTTTTTTGCTGATATTTGTAAAGGAATCACATCACTCTTTATCATTGAATTTTCTAGGCTGTGACCATTGTCTATGATAGATTCATTAGTAAATGTTTGTATCTAAATGAATTGTAGTGATATTTCATTCTTATGATTATTGTTTCTGTATCTACTGTACATTCCGGATTTGTTTTTTGACAAGAAATTATTCATAGATTGCGTAGGTATACTAATTTACGAGTAATATATGCTTTTATTATCTTTTTCAGCTCAAGTCTCAATGGAGAGTATGATGGTAGGAGGGGTAGGCGTAGGTAGCGTGGCTCCCGTAGGTGGGGGCGTGGGTTCGATGGGGGGATTTCAGCTAGTCCGCGAACCCACGTCAGGGGCCCTGCTTCTCCTCCCGACGCCACCGGACTTGCAACATGCGGTAGTCTGGGGCGGGATGCCGTACCCATCGACACCTTTACTACTTCCACCCGCTCCTCATCCGTCGCATCATCTTCAATTGCTACCAGGAGATTTGCTCGCGTCAACTGCAACCTTACAACACACGCATACCCATTCTACGCGTCTAGTCACCTTAGCACCAGCGCCCGCGCCGCAACCACATCCAGCCCACACTGACAAAAGAAAACCCATCATACAACCGTTAATAACACCTCATGCTCTAATAAAGATAGAGCCTGAACCCCCGCAGGAGAAACCTCAACCGACGTTCGCTCCAGAACCTGTCCAACAACCCATGTTAGCGACGCATTTGTATTATCAACCAGATTATTCTGATCAAGTCGGAGTTTGCAGAAGTCAAGCCACATCTCCGGCCGCGCCGCCAACTCCACCGCCAGAAGTATCTGAAGGACCGGCACATAAAGACGCTTCTAATCAAACAGACCATATTGACGATGAGGACGAATCTCCAAATCATGCCGATGAGGATGAAAGAGATATCGCTTGCGTGGGCGTCGCTCATTTCCCTGAAGACTCCTTAATACAAACTCAAACAACGATATTGCAACCCGCACCTATTGATAGTGCAGAAGACTCTTCTTCTGAAGGGTTAGCGACGTCTGCCGTTGTAGGCGCAGTAGAGAAGGCGATTGACGCAATCGAGAGAGATGAAGCTCTAGGTGACAGTCCGAGTAGTGGAGGTTCTCATGATTTAGTGATAGATACAGCAAGCACGTCACCAATACAGCAAACACAAACTCGGCCACCGGTGGACGTTAGCGGACTTGAACTTTTGTCTAACAGTATTGAACAGTTTGAACGAACTACGCCGGGAACTAGTATACCGGCACTAGAACCCGTACCTTTAACTATTGACACTAGAACTACGTCAAAGTTGAACATATTGATAAAGACTTCACCTAAGTCTCCACCAAGAACGGAGGCCGAACCACATGCACGATTTGAATATCCACCTGTAGAACCGAGTACAAGCGAAACTGCTAAACAATCTTTCGATGGATTAGGCCTTCTTTGTGCATTAGCTGAACAAAGATTCATGGAGGAGGTTGAAAATCCTCCACTAGGGTCTACTTCGACTTCTCGTCCATTTATAAAAAGTGAATTATTAAGTCCCACTGAAATAAACAGATCTGTTGAGATAAAAAGAGAGAAACACAGGCATCGGGATGGTGACTCGTCTAGTGAAAGACGGCGGAAGAGAAGTCGTGATAGAACAGAGAGACTGCGGCATAAGATTGAAAAGATGAGAAGGCACAAGAGAGATAGAGATCAAGATGAAGCAAGATCCAACGGGGGTGAAATTGAAGCAAGCTTACGTCGCGTCACAGCTTGTGCATGTGGCGTACCAGATTGTACACATATACCATCTGTGCCTTCAGCACAAGCCTTAGTTAACGCGATCGAAAAAGACATGCGAGAAACACTAGAAGATCTACAACGGCAATGTGACGAGAAGAGAGCTCAACTGGATGCATTAACACCGCCTCTTCTTGCTTTATCAACCCCTCCGACGCCTTCAACTCCAGCTTTGTCTCCTGATTCAGATAGGGGTTCATCTAAAAAGAGAAAAGTTGGTAGACCTAGGAAGGTTTCCAGTCCGGATTCCACAGAAACAATAGTAGCTAAGAAGCCGAAATCTAAAAGCAGCCTCGTAGGTTACTTGCTCGCTAAAGGAAAATTGAAAGGTGGCATATTATGCACACGAGGAGAGCCCGCCAGAGAAGATACTCATCGCACGAGTAAAGTCCGCCCGAAGTTAAAAGCTGAGCCAATATTAAAAGTGTGTTCTGAGGAGGAAGAAAACGAGTGGACTCTTAATAGATCAGCTAGTTCCTCCATGGAGAGTTTGAATGAAGTGAGACAGAAAAATAGGGAGAAAGTTGATCGCTTAGTGCGAAAACATTCTAGAGACGATTTGCCGGAGTTGGAGTTTGCGATGCGTCGCACCAGTGCTTCCAGTGACAGTGACAAAGAAAGACGTAGGGCTAAAAAGAGACGGAAGAGTGTTAAATCTAAAGACAAATGTGATGATAATGTTAAAGATCAAATGGAGCCTGTGGTACAAAAGGCTTCGATATGTACTTTAACTGAAGATAAGTTGGACTCTTCGCCTAGAGTGTTGACGGCTATGGGGGGATTATTTTACGCAGGTAAACTGAGCGCAGTGCAAGCACCGGATGTGTACGCGATTACTTTGGACGGCGAGAGAGGGAACAAGCCCCATATATTGTCAAGAGAAGAAACCCTAAGAGATGCTGTAAGTACTTATAATAATTCAATATTTTATTAGGTCAGTTATAATGACTGCATTATGTGGGTCAATCATGTCTTATTTATTCTTAAAAAGAGGAGTCTCGATGAAAAGTAAAGTTAAAATAATACTTTAAAAACTCGCATAAAAATAATTTCTAACAATACTTTGATTAAATAAGTTATAAATATACATATAATCATAAAAATTGTTCACAAACCAAAGAAAATAGCAATTATTATGTCAATATTAAAAAGGTTGATTATAATTTTTAGGGTTTAGAAAAAATGGATGTCACCACATTTCCTGGCACGCTTCAAACCATTTATCTATAAAAAAATGCGGGTGATTCCAGATTTTAGAAGTGAGCCCAACTTCAGTGACCGAGTTACCAGCTGGAGCGCGAGTGTGCGCGTACTGGTCGCAGCAGTACAGGTGCTTATACCCTGGTACCGTGGCGGTCGCCTCACCAGACCCAAGACACGATAACTTCGTTGCTGTTGAGTTTGACGACGGCGATTCTGGTAGGATAGCCATCGAAGATATAAGATTCTTGGAACCGAACTATCCAGTTGTCGGTGAGTGCCTATAACAAATTATTTTAAACCATTCTGATTTTTTACTTGATTTTATAGTACCTATATTACTTATTTAAATAGATAAAGCAGATTTATCCCCATTGGCAGCCACGATTGCCACCAGGCCTTTTCCGGGACAGACCCGGTTTCAATGATGTTGTCCCGCGTCCCAATTTCTCATTAAGTTTGTCCCGATTTTTGATAACGCTCTACAGTCGTTCCTATGATGTAATTGTACTATTTTTCGTTTTCTGTCGTCTAATTTGTTTGTCCAAAGGTGGCAATCCTGTTAGCAGCATCCCTTTAGTGATCTAACAATCGACGTTATAACGTATTTCTGTTCTTATATTCTATTCTTATCTTTCATTACTTGGTTGCTCTTGTTGATAAATTCGCCTCCGCAGTAAACTTACTTGATATAACGTAAGTCTCTAAACTTTCATCATTTTTTCCAGAATACGAAAATCCATTGTTCACTTTGGGCAAGAGAAGAAGGAACACTAGCGTAACAGAAGATAAGAAAGTCTCTATAACCAGTAACGAGCCGAAACCGTCCTCATCTGAGAAGCACGACGAGGAAGATCATCACAAAGATAGGAAAAAGCTCAAAAAGCATCGTAAAGACAAAATAAAGAGGCACTCCAGCGAAGAAGATCCGGCGGATTACGTGAAAAAGAAGAAGAAGAAACATAAGTGTTGCGAGGAACACTGCAAACATAGACGACACAAGAAACATCACAGGAAACATAGGAAGCGACACCACTCCACCTCTAAAGAACACTCTAGCTCTTCTGGAGATGATCATCAGAGGCATAAATCTTCTTCAGATTATATTGATTCGAATAAATCGAATGAAGATTCCGGAGATTCTAACGATCGACTGTCCACTCTAATAGCTTGCGAAAAATCTCCAGATGAGAAAATGAAGACTGTAATAAAGAAAGCGGTGTTGTCCAAAAAGAGTTTGGTGAAGAACGCTGTTTTAGATTTCAGCAGTTTGGGCAAGATCACCAAGAAGGAGGAAGTGAAAGATAATTTGAAAGATAGCGGGATCTGTCTAGAAGAGGAGCCTTCGACTAGTGATGCTACTAAAAAGGTATGTACAAAACATGAAAAATCAAAAGCCACGTTAGTCATAACTGAATTAACATGGCAATTTCTGTTCACATCTAGTTGTATTACAACACCAGTTAGTTCGCGACTAAGAGGCGCTATACGTCGTTCCACTCTGTTAAAAGAGCTTCTTTCCGGAGCATTTGTAGCGTCTGTAAAATGTTATATAGGGGAAACTATAACTGTATCGTGGATTTTCGTCTGGACCACCATCGCAAATAAAAATAAATACGGGAATGTAATCGGGAATGGAAACTTATCGTTTCCACCTCTGTCACATTCATCAACAATATCTAGTCAGTTTAGTTTGGTTGTTTTACCAAAATTCAATCTCACTTTTACGTCTTCTGACTCCAGGTGTATGTGTGATGTAGACGACGAAGAAATTTTTGAAAACTCCTTCCATAAGTATCGCTTTCTTTTCGTAATTTTTCACTACATTTTAAACTTTTCCACAAGTTGTTAACTTATACAGTTAGTTTTTTTTTATCAACATAAACTGCACTGTAAGTTTCGTATAGTTTTTAAATCGCTTTGTTCATTTTAAACTTGTTTCGCAAGTAAAAATCCAGAAAATAGCGTTTGGCGGCATTTATCAATGATCGACAAAACAATTGGGTATCACATAGTTACACATATACAGTTGTATATATTTTTGAGGTTTTCGTAAAGACTATAATAGATTTTGAAATGTGTCGACAATTTAGCTCCCCTACCCCCTTATTGTGTGACGTAATTTATGGATGGCCCCATAGGACTAATCAATTTGAAGTATATTTCTAGAATATATATATTTATTACCTCAAAAAAGACATTATTTGAGTTTGTGGATGGTTTATAATACATATTTTTACGTAATTTGTGTTCTACAGAAGAAATAGTTTTTATTGTTTTTTTTTGTTTTTTCAGAAGAAACGTAGAACGGTATCCTCGTCATCGGACGGCCCCGGCGCCAGCGGTGTGAGCAAGATGGCAGCATTCCTCCCGGGCGCTGCTCTATGGCGTTGGAGCGGGACAGCGTATCGGCGTGCGGCGAGACCTCGTTTACGCAAGCTTTTCTACCGCGCTATACAACGCGGCGATGAAACATTGCATGTAAGTAATTTTAAAATCTATCTCATTCCCTTTCTATTTGAATGATATTCACGAATTTCACGCTATTACTATTTGACCCATCTTAACCTACGAAATACATTTTTCGTATACATACTTCTATATCGTTTGGTATCTAAGGATACTTAATATGGAAATATGATATTATTTTAGCAGTGTGTGTTGGCCCATTGAAATTTATGGCGAACGATATTTTATCTTAAGCTATCATACGATAGACGTATATAGCAATATGGTACGATCTTAATACTAAAGTTAATGATAAACCTATTTCCATAAAAGTGAAAACACATTAAATATTTATTATATTTGAATAATTTTGCATTCACAATGTTATAGTTGAAAATATTATTAATGAAAAAAAGTTTAAAAAATCCACTTCGCCCCTGGTACTATGAGATGAGATTAAATCATTGATATTATTACCAGAGACTGGATTAACTCGGTGGCATAGTGGAAAAGCGCCGAGGCCCACTATAGTTGTCGTTCGGCTGCAGGGGCTGCGGAAGGCAGGTTAAGCCGTTGGTCCCAGCTTCATTTGGGTATATTGGGCCTGCGTGAAGGGATCATGGCCCCCTTTAACCATCCATAAGGGAGGTCTGAGCCCCTGTTGTGGGAATGTAAAAGGGCTGATGACGATGGTATGATTATTTTGTTAGGTTGGCGACGCAGCTGTATTCCTGTCGACCGGACGGCCGGACCGTCCGTACATAGGTCGTATAGTTGCGTTGTGGGAAGCGCGCGGCGCCATGGCGGTGCGGGTCAAGTGGTTCTACCATCCAGAGGAGACCACCGGCTGTCCGGACAAATTACACTACCCGGTATATATTCACCTCCTATTGCTTATTACCGCCTGGTACTATAGGGAATTTATATATATTTTTTGTCGCTTCAATACATTGGTCTTCTTCAGTTTAACGGGCGGTTTCTGAATTGAGAAAAGCGCAAAATCTCGACTGATTATTATTGTCACTGACAATACTGACAAAGCAAAAGTCCTAGTTTTTATCAACTAATCATTAAAAAAAAACTAATATCAGAAACGAAAACCTGTTTAAGTGACGTTTAAGTAAAATTTTGAGACGTGATTCTTCTTTTATTAATCGCTTATTTGAGCATTTTGCACAATTCTGCCAATGTCAAGTTATAAAAATAGTTAAAAAAAAAAAGTTTCTATGGCGCTGAATCCACATTCCCAAGCCTGATTTATCAAGTCGGTTAGTGTTTAATCAACAAGTAGCCATTTATTATTAAACTGACATGTCAAAGTCACACTGTATTGACAAACAGCTTCGAGCTGATGATTGAAGATGAAATGATGTTATTTATAAATTGATATCTCTATACTAATATTATAAAGAGGAAAGATATGTTATTATTTGTTTGCATTGAATAACCTCTATACATCCGTACGTGGATGAAATTAGGCTATAATTAAAATATAATGCTGATCAAATCCCGAGAAAATGAGTAGTTATCTATATTGGTTACAAATTATCTTTTAAAGATCTTAAATACCTGTTAAAATATTTTAGGTTGGAGCCTGGCTGTTTCTTTATATGTGGCCCGCCGTTTTCTTTATTCAGAAATAGAGTTGGTCAAATCTGAATCGAGGAAAATGTTTTTAATCACATTTTATGTTTGTATTACAGGGTGGCCTATTTGAATCACCGCATACAGACGAAAATGATGTCCAGACAATCTCGCATAAATGCGAAGTGTTGCCACTGCCGCAGTACAAGGAGCGAATGGGCGATGACCCAGTCAAGTACAGCACAGTGTACGATAACAACGATGTTTATTATCTAGCCGGACATTATGATCCAACTCAGCAAACGTTGCGAATGGAGCCGGACATACCGTTTGCTAACAAACCTAGCTCCTAAGACGTTATGCTGGCCTGGTACTTTCGAAGCGTAACAACGAGGTTAGAGACATCCAATAAAACTAGTTCTGTTTCGAGGTCATTGTACGTGTGACAGCGGAACGAACCTAATCGATTACTGACGAAACAATCTCTTGAGATGTCATGTTAGCCTGGTAGTTTATAAGTACAACGTCCCGGTCAAGGGCAAAAATTGGTGATTACTGTTCCAAGTTTTTTTTATATTTTAATTTTTCAAACAAGTCATTATTGTGATTGATTGATTGAAAAATAATGTATTTTTTAGGTATGTACTAAAATTATTTTTTTGTCTTTTTATTGTTTGATGTACGTAAAGAAATCATGAAACTCCTTTTATTTGACTTTTATGGAAGTAGTGATCACTCAGTGGAGAAATAATATTATAAAATCGGTTTTCATCTTTTATAAAAATATTTTTATGATTATATAATTTGATTAAAAATTCAAAATAAATCTGTATTCTAGACACGACATTGCTGATGAAACAAAATTAATGCAACGTCACTAAGGTGACATTAAAATGAAACTTTACAGTGCAATAAAATCAACTTGATAATTTAAATATTTGATTTAAAATAAATTAACTTATCTCGATGTTAGCATGTGCAGTAGTTTTTTTCGCAAGCTGTACTTTCACTGAAATATTTAGACGTAGTCCGATGTTGATTATAATACAGGTCAAACTTAAAGTACAATGTAGTTTTTCAAGGCTCAATTTTTCACATTTACCGTCCTTGGAGACGATTCTTATGCGAACTTAAGATTCAATAATAAATATGTTGAAGTTACCTTTGTTGCGTTATTTAAGTGGATTCCCGTTCGGAATGTTGAGTTTTTCGATTGGATTTAATTGGGCCGAGTTCTTGGTGGTTGCGACAATATATTTCGTGGCGTGTCATGAATCGAGTGGCCGATTAAGGTGATGATATGTGATTTAATTTCATAACGCTGTAATCTCAGTGTGGGTAGTTGTATTTTGTCGTGTATATTATTATTCTATTAGATTTTTATGTATACGTAGTTTTTCTTCATATAAATGTCTATTATATTTAACGCAATAATTTTTAACTAGTCCTTTTTTAATTATATTCAAAATTAACTGACGGTTTTGATGAATACTATATTGGCAAAAGAAAACACTTAAGTCGTATTAATATTTCTCCGATATGTTTGTTATATTTTCTTGTTTTTCACTGATTTTTTATATTATTGTTTGATAATTTTATGTTAAAATTGAGTATACCTTTATATCGAAATGGTGCTAGACGCTTGATAATCTGCTCGTTTTTTTCACTGTAGATTAAGACTGTATATAAGTAGATAAATAAGTTTGTAAGCCGTTGGTATTTATGTGTCGCCAGTGATACGGCGTTTCCGCTTTATCTAATGTTGCCATTTACTCTTATTCTTTTATATATAATTTAGATGGGGTATTATAGACCCCCATTTATCTTCGTATTCATATCGAAAAAAAGGGACTGAAGGACAGGGATGTAGATATGCGGTGAGCGAGCGATTAGGTAGGTTTTGTACGGAATGAAAATGTTTGTAAGAAAAGTCGAAATTACTCAGCCTTATACAACTATATTAAAGCGAACTCTCCTTATTAGTGTTGTAATTTTTGAATAAGCTTCGTTAGTTCGTTTAATGGTTATATTATGTGGCCAAATTGTTTTGCGTGCATCGTACTTTTTGTTATTATCGTATACCCTTAGATTTAAGTTTAATCACTTAGTTATAAGATGTATGGTTTATTTTAAGTTTCTCAAGTAAAAAGAACTAATTATTGGAATCTAAAACTTAAGAGAATATTATTGAAGAAATAAAAAATAAAAGTAAAAAGTTCGAATTTGGAAACAATATTTAGAAAATCGTATTTTTATATTGTGGTGAAGTATCTTTTTATTTTTTAAAATAGAATACCTATGTATTTGAATCAAAGTTATTATAACATAAGTACAAACTTGTTGAAGAACGATATTTGGCTCGGCCCAGTGTTTGTATACTAACGATTCGGCTGAATTCATCGAATCTTAAAACAGTCTTATTAATGAATATTTAAAAGCATGATCATACGATGCCGCCTTCAAGATTAATAGTACCCTAAGCCCCGTTAAGTTTGTTTGATGGCAAAAAATTGTGTTTTTTATCTCAGTCTATTTACGGAAATTAATGGGGCTATGCTAGTTTCAATACAAAATAGTTGATATAGATTTATATGAATTCGACTCGCACTCGGTAGTTACATGCTTAAGATTGTAAGTTTCTAAGAGAATCCAAAAGCATAATTTGCAAATCTTATAGGCGGCACTATGATAATTGTCAAATATGATGAGACTGTTATAAGTTTTCTGAATTGCCACCATTAATATTAGCTTGTAATCAGAAGGGAAAGCCATAAAATATTAGAAGTAAAGATTTAATAATATATCAAGCATTGATAATATAAATATAAATACGCTTAAATAAAAATATTTTTGGCTGAATAAAGTGTTTGATTTGATAAATTGAAACTCCTTTTTATATATCTATGTATATTTATTGTTATTTCATTAGACATTTAAATTTTTAGTATTAAAATTAAATAAATTATTGTACTTACTAATTATTAAAATATTAAGTAAGCATACACAGGTACGGAATTTAATTTTTGTTTTCTTATGATGTATAAAATATAAAGCACAAGATTTATCAGTACGGGTGCGACTGCCTAACTCTCAAGACATAACTATAAAACTTTTATGAATTTTATTAATGAATATATAATTGTAGTTTTTATTATGTTATAAAAATAAAAAAAATATTATAGAATAATATAAACATTATCGTTGATAAAATCTATAAACGTTTTCGTAGCTATCGGTGGTCGGCAATTCTGTCCCTTTAAGCAGCGGGCGGTTAAATTTTAAACAGAATAATAGAAAATGTAGACAGAAATATAGCGAAATAAAAGTGTAGAAATAGCACTGCTCAGCATTATTCGCTCAATCAAAGAAAATTTATTACCTTTTAAAGTAGGATTTATTTGATTGATCTTCTATGCTGCAACAGCGGTGTGTTAGACGCCTTATTTTTCACAGAATAGCACCGCAGGTCACTATATAAAAAACTAAAATCAGTTCATCCTATTTCCAATTCATTCAAATATGTGGAGAAAACTTAATAAAATTATAATCCTGGTATTTTAAGTACATCATTAAAGGTCAACAAAGAACTTCTCGCTTCCCATTACTTATAACTTCATATGTATTGTCATCAATAATCTTGTAGATGTCTTGTCGGTAACTCGTCAAGTTGTGGAAGAATCTTATGGTGCTTTCTTCCCTGATTTTGGTAAGAACGGATGGAAGAGTTTCCGTTCCGGCTTCAGTTGCCAACGATGCGTAATATCTTTCCTGGAACAAAGTTCAATAAAAGTTAATTTACTGGAAATATAGCCATGAATTTCTCAATACATGGAAATTGTACATTTTAAGATCATTTTATCCGTAATTCCATTCCTAGAATGCTTTTTTTCATAATACATATAATAAATACTTATATGGTTTTATCAATGAATCCTCTAATTGCATTCTAATCTATGGGAGTTGAGTTTTGGAATTTCAATCGTTTTACATAGCTATTTAAATTATTAAGTAATAAAATAATGTGTTTTCTTAGTTAGACCCTATTTTTACAAATACTGATGTTCAAGGCAATTTAGTACAGATAACCTAGTGAGCGGTGCAAACGATATAGGTCACAGTTAACAAGTAGTCATTCAATCGGTGCCAGTATCAAGTCGACCCTTACGCAGTATACGTGTGCAACAAGAATAAACAACAGTGCAATTATTTACCTATACGTATTTATGAACTCCTGGTATATCAGTGCGTTATTTATTTATTATTATTACATATTAGAAAAAGTGATGACATTTATTTAAATATCGGCTATATTTATTATCAATTATCATTTGTGAGTTAATTAATAAAAATATTTCTTACTTTTGTTTTATTTAAACACATCTCTGAATATAGGCACAATGTTTGTTATCTAGTGATTTTATTATAGATAGATAGATGTTCAATCTTATCTTCAGCGTAATTCCTATGTATGCGATGTCTTACCTATTTATTTCGTAGGCATTATTTAGATACCTATTTAATTATAAGTAGGTAAACAACTAAATAATGTCTAGAAAATAAATAGGTATACATTACGTACTACGCCGAAGATTTAAGATTTGCATACATTGGTTTAATATCTATCTATTTATATCTCCACGTCGTATCCCCGGTGGGTTGATATCTAAATACTGATTTAAACAAACATAGGTAAGAAATGGATAGAACTTTAGAAACATAGGTAAGTAATCACAGCAGGACAACAGAAATTTGCTATTGGCATCTCGAGCCCGTATTCGATTTCTAGCTGGACCAATAAAAATTAAACGGGTCACTTAAACGGGCTTCCGTTTCTGATTTTAGGTTTTTTAATGATCACTTGATAGCAATTTTATAAAAACTAGAACTTGCATTGAAAAAACTACAAAAACTTAAGTTATTGAGAATTATCAGCTGAGATTTTGTACTTTTCTCAATTCACAAACCTATAAATGATGTAAAATTATACTATCATCGATAAAGTATTGATGTTATTTATTAGTTAGACCTACGGAATCAAGGCGCATCTAACTTTCAGACCTTAGACTAGAGACACAGCAAAATACCAATACCAAAGTACTACTACAAAGAACTTTCCAAGAACTCACCGAAAATAGATGCATCAGTAATCATGCTTGTTGAACTTTAATTGACTAAGAACAATTAATTGGTTTTACCCCCACAGGATTAATGTTACTAAGTTCTAAAAACTGTCGATCGAATAAAAAATATTTAGAACAAATGTCGTTTTGATACTCTAATTTTTTTTTACTTTAATAATTTTAATAACAACAACAATAAAAACCAAAAAATGCTATTCGAGATCTTTGAATAACTCCAATAATATTTATTTGTGTTGAACGCAGACTTAGGACTTTATGAGACTTGAGACAAGTTTAAGAACGCCACAATGAACTTATCTAAGAGTTACTAGCTCATTATTTCGAGAATCGCTAATTTGAGTACACCCAACAATCATATAGGATTACCAATATTAAGATTATTCTATCTCTATCCATCTATAATATCACGCCCCTTTCCCGGTGGGGTAGGCAGAGACCATCTTCATTTTGCACGATCCCGACATACATACATCTCTCGCTTCTTGTACACGCATCAACCTTTTCATACATGTCTAGGGTATCTACTCTTGACCGGACCTTTCTTTTATACGTCCGCGATTATGTCGTGGTACGTTCTTCTAAGTTTTGATATGTTATCTCAACATCAAACTTTCGATAAATAGTTGAAATTGCTTAGAAAATTTCATTAATGTTGTAGCTTATGGCCCAATTACATAAAACATTTACTATAAAATGATTTTTTTTTTTTCAATAATAATTGCAGCTAATAATTATTCTATTGTGAGTTAAGCGAACCTAATACGTGGTAAAAATATAAAAAGACAGCGAATTAATGAGTATGTTAATAAAGTCAATGCACTAACATTATCAGTTCCAAGGAAAAATAAATTGCAATAAAATGTATTATTCATCGTTTCATATAATATAAACAATGATAAATAATTATTAAGGTATGTTAATAATCACATCATTATAGGATATAATTCAAATATATTAATATACTTAGTACAATTTATATACTTTTGACTAGTGCTAATAAATAAATGTAGGCACCTTATATAATTTAATTTCTATACAATTTTTATTTTTCAATAGATAGTAAATAATCTAATTTGTTTTATCATTCGATAATTTATATTACATAGATTATGGAATGACGTAATAAAAAATTATACTATTTATTATCAAACAGTAAATAGGTATGACTTCTCAACTTTAATGCCTGTTATCTAAGCTATTTCTTATTAAATTTAAGTAAAAAAAGTACGTATCTAATATTTTTCTATTATTTGACTGATGGACTAAATAGAATTTCTTGTTTTTACCCAGTCGTCATCCCTATTGTATAGAAATATATTACTAAATAAATAAGAAAGTAATTAATCTTCTAACCCAACTAATGTGAAATTATCTAAAAGTTGACGTGCTAAGATTCTAAAGTAGCTTAGAGATTAACAATAAAAACTATAAAGCAATTTAATAAAATTTTGTGAATTAATCAAAGTTTTTTACTTTCACACTATTATGTAAAGGTATAGCTAACTATAGGTTATAAAATATAGCTTGAAATCATTAAACATAAATAGTAGCGGTCTTAATTAACATCCTTGTGGGGCAACAAAGTTGAACAAACAAAGTTTTCGCGGTCGATGATGCTGTAAATATCATTCCTGTAGTGAGTTAGATTATGAAGAAACATGATGCTACTGTGGTTATGAATCTTCGTAAGCACTGGAGGAAGAGGTGCAGCTTGCGACTCTTTAGAAAGCGTTATGAAGTATTCCGCCTAATGTATGAAGGTCGAAAAAAATAGATTTGTAGTTATTTTTATTATTTCACATTCATAATCAGGGGTAAGGATTTGACTACTGAACGATGGTTCATTTAAGCCTCGGTTGAGTAATCTGTACTTACCCTGAAGGGGTAATACTTTATACTACACTTACGAGGAAAAAAAAATGCTAATTCACCAAGTTTACTTTAGACATGAAAAGCTGCGTCTTGTAATAAATTTAGTCAATCGCAGCTTGTTTTTGCAGTACACCAAGATGACATCTTGTGGCAAACTGTACCCTATTAAGTTAGGTTAGGTTAGGATAAGTATCCCATTAAAAACAATGTGCAAAAATGCACAACGCGGCTTTTCTGCCTTAAAAAATTATGAAATGGAATCTCTCGAAGTTATTTAACTGCTTTGTTATAAATTTATAACTTATAACAAAGCAGTTAAAAACTACACAGCAAACTGAATCTACGTCACCAAATAATATTAGACGTAGTTTGCCAGATATTGGCTAGAATTTCAAAATATACACAAAATAGTCAGGATCTAATTGAATTGTGTCGTCGTCAGTCCTATTATAACTTACGTATATTTAATTTTTTAAAGTAGAACAAAATGGGTTTTAGAATACGAATTAATGAGAAACTTTCTAACAACAGTTATATCAAAATATGTATAAACAATTTAGTTAATGAGTTTTCCGAGTGAGTGTAGTATAAAATAATTTGAATAGAAAGCAATATAGTTTGTAGAAAAAAAAGAAACTGTAAAATAAATTCAAGACATTTTTGTGCCCTACACAATAGCTTCAGCTATTTCTTTATTCGCAATCTCATAGTTACTTCTTTATTTACTGGTTGACATTGACCATGATGATTTCCTTACAGGGAATATATAATTTCCTTATTAGGTACCTATTTATAAAAGTAACAGAGCAGGATGTTAAGTCTTAAAAGGTATGGAACTACTTGATTCAATATCTACTGTGGTAATACTATAAAGGGAAAAGATTTAGTTGTTTGTTGGTTTGTTATCTTACATTAATTTACTAGACCAATCTTAAAAATACTTTCATCTAAGGGAAGCTACATCATGGCGTAGGCTAAATCGCATACAGGGTGAGTTTTCAAACAATGCCCTAAGTTTATATACCTTTAGTAAGTAGATCCTTAATATAATACATTAACGTATTTTATTAAGCAAAGTATTTTGCTAGATTTCTATAAGAACTTGTATATAAGAACTTATAGGCTACATGTAAATTCCGATTTAAGCGACAGTTAGCGAGTCAGGTGTTACTCATGCTTTATTTATACCACAGAACACGGAAACGAAATTTATACTACAGTATCACGAAAGGTTCTCTTATCCTGCTTGTAGGTACTTGGGAGATGAGATACTACCCATACTCCGTTGCGAAAAAATGTTTATTTGAAAATTTCAGTAATACGGAGATAAATTGACTAATTCTAAGTTAGCAATGTTATATAAAATTTATTTTGAAAGCGGAGACTTTTTATTCACGAGGGAAAATGACAATTTTTGCAATAAATTAACCTAAGTTTTAGACATTTCATCGAATAACTATTAACCTTTTTTTTTCTAATGCCGATATTGAAAGTTTCAATGTAAACTAATAAAAAAATAAGCATTTTTTTTCGAAGTAAACCTTTTTGATAGTGCAAAAAAAAAAACAAAGCCGTCGTTTTGATTTTTGAACCCTGGTTATAACTACTCATTAGTATTTGTAGTCAACATGAAAACTAAGCCACTAATGTCGGTTCTTGTCTGTTTCGACGACATAAAAATATTTAATGAAACATTTTCTCTCGACAAAGAGTAGCATCCATCCTAAGATTAAAAGCTCAGGGTCAACTTTGAATAGAGGCTTAGCAGAACCTGACAAAAATTATACAGGGTAATTATAATTGACTGTGTTGAATAAGTTCATGCAGATATCATAGATACGTATTTTTTGTATTCTTTTGTTTTTAACAAGATTATTTTGTATTAGAAAAGAAAAAAGTTTCACAAGCTGATAGCTCGAAACCTCTACTCTTAAAATCCACTATTAGGACATACAGGTCACAATAGATTTAACGTCGACTTTATATGAAAGAAGTGAATGAGTATATTATTACGTTCTTTTATGAATTTAATAAACTAAATAAAGAACTTGGGTATCAGTAAAGGAACGTTGTAATACCCCGAGGCAACCGCGCTTTAAGAAATTTTGATCCAGACTAAGCTCGCGGTGAAGCGAGCTCGGAAACCTAGAAAGAACTGCTAATGCAGCATTGTCTGACTGTTTGCATATTAGCATGCAAGAGTAGTGTACAGATCGTTACCTGATCGGGTCCCATCATGTGCGCTTGTCGCTTGGTGTAACCTCTGGCGGCGCGCTCCTGCTTCTCGTGCTCCCAGTGTTCTTCCATCTGCTGTTGCGTGGGCAGACTGAATGCACCGTTCATAGACCGCACGTAATATCGGACCTGCATATAAAATAAAACAAAAATTTAAAAGAGTAAAATAACAATATGACAACTATGTCACAGTGATGCGGTCGATTAGATTGCAAGAAATCAACTATGGTAGGTGTAGCCGGGAAAATTGATTAGAATACTGAACTGCTGGATTTGATTCCTAACGTTAGCAAAATTAGACAATCTCTTTAAGCACTCTGTTAGTTCAGTTGGAAGAGCGAACAGATACGTATACGTCCAGGAATCATCAAAGCTTTTATAAAGATAGAGTAGCTGGATATCGCTGTGGCTAACACATCCGATCTGTGACTTTCGCCTTTCATTTGTAGCTGGGTTAATTTGTATCAATAACTTTTGCCAGTCATTGGTCGGAATAACACTAGCTCCAGCATTAACAGCAGTATGTATATGCAGTCGTATCAAACCGCTGTGGATCCACGTGTTAAGTTATGGTTATTTTCCTTTCTTCTTTTCTATCTTCAGGGAAGTTTAGTTAGTTTCCGTCTATGGGGCATAGTCCCAGAAGTGAAAACATTAGGCTGTAGATGATTGTTTTTAAAATAAATATAACTTCCAGTTACTTATTATTAAATGCCAGTCTACTCTTCGATTGTCACAACAAAATAGTACTAGGTAGTGAAGTTGTGCAAATTTATATTATTTTATTTATATATTATAGATTTAACCCTTACCTGTAAATCAAACATGGAGAATGCGCAGACGTAATAAGGTACCCCGATGAAACACATGCTGGGATGGTATATGTTGACCAGGTGTTTGTAGAGGGGCTCCACACAGTTATCTTCTACCACGATACCACAGGACTGATGTAGGAACGGGAAGTTGTACTGATAACCTGAATATAAAGGAAATCAGACAATTTAGAAGCGTAAGAAAATATGAGTGTGGCAGTTTTATAAACTTTAACTATTTGTTTAATTGGTATTCAGAGGTAAACACACTTGACTATCACCCCAAAATAGGTACAACAAATTATCATTCTTTAATTTTCATATCATAATTACCTTCTCATGTGAATTTACTCAAGAGTATTCGTGAGAAGAGTTTGTGTGATTAAAATTTTCAATTAGTAAATAAATAAGAACCATCTATATTCATTATTACTCACCAGTACATAAGAAGAAAACGTCCACTTCCTCCTGGGTTCCATCTTGGAAATATGCAGTCCTTCCTTCTAGCTTCACAACATCAGGCTTTTGCTCCAAGTTTTCAGGGAACACTGTCTTAGGTTGTTCTTTGAGATGATGGCTGAGTATGACCTTAGCGGTGACCGATGTGATCTCTAATGCAATGTCCATACCAGATGGGCCGGCGCCTACGACTAGGACTGTCTTCCCAGTGAAGATTTCTGGCACTCTGTAATCGTGGCTGTGCATCACTTCTCCTGTAGAAATTAAACAATTTAAAATCTCTTTGTTCTGGAGATGCACTTAAAAAAAGATTCCAACTAGAACTATTTTGCCAACGACATCATCTAAGTCTGGCAAGTCCTCTTTAAACTGCTTTAACTATAGATCAATGTCATCCTTACTCTTAAGAGCTGCAAAGTTTTTATATTCATTCATAAGTCAAATAATGCATGATAGATTGTGGAAGTGCTTTCCATAGGAATAAAGATTTTTTATATATTTTTATTTAAGATACAGTTTTGTTTGATAATAGCCGCCGCTAGATTTTTATTATTACTTTTGTGGCTATGATCTGGGATACAAAGATACCAAGGTATGTAGTAATATCTATCAATCTAATTTACCTTGAAATTCTTTGAGGCCCGGTATACTAGGTATGAAGGGAGTGTTGTAATGTCCATTACAGACAAACACGTAGTCATATTCACGTGTCTCCGATTCTCCGGTCACGAGATTCTTGAATGTGACGTCCCACAGCTCCCCACTTGGTCCCGCTTTGGGTATAACTAGTTGTACATGATGGTTGAACTGAAAAACGAAAACAAAATGAAAGTTGCTCACTAATTTGTTTAATGTGAACAATAATGGTATAAAAATATTAGCAGATGCTATTTGAAAGTGGTACCAATAAAAAAACTGCTTCAGTTTAATCCCGCAATAGAAAAAAAGTGGTAAAGGCTTTATAAATATTTGATTAAAGCATAATTTTGATGTTAAACTTTTAAAATCCGATACACATCCTGTGGGATATTATAAATAAATGAAAGCTTGCAAAAATGCAAAAAAATCACGCGGTCATGTTTTTAAAAAGTGCGTAGTGTTTTGCTACAAATATACCACTCTCGGTTAAGAGACTACCACACTGGTCTATATAAATATCAGACTATCAGAATAACAGCTTTATATTATGTTAAATATAACTGCCTCGAACTAATATGTATATCTAATTCCAAACTACCCTACTGTGTTCTGAAAATTGGATGAATAATTTGTAAGAATCGAAATGGAGTGATAAAGGCTGCAAAATGAAAAAAAAACGCAGTTCAAAACCAACCAGTCTGAGATTAAGTAAGATTTGATTACTTTAACTGTTTCGTTATTACACAAAGTGGTAATTATAGCCAATAATACCTTAATATGAGGAGTTACTCCATGTTTATCAGCATAAAGTTGTAGGAAGGCCAGCATATCTTTAGCAGGGAGGTATGATTTTTCACTCTCAGGCACCGGGAAATCAGGAAAACCCATTATCTCCTTTGGCAGGTTGGTCCTGAAAAATTTTAATAATTACGTAAAAATATATAATGCACATTACGTTCTATGACAAACATGAACTAAGAGATGGACGAGAAACATCATTGCAGAACCTTAATTTAATTATCGAGAATAAATTTAATTTTATTGCTGAGATCATTGTAGATTCTTTAAATTTGCGTATCGATTATGTCATTTCCTAATTTTATTCAAAATAAAATTTTTACACTACACAAGTTTTTTATAAAATTGTTTATTTCAAGATCGTTTTTTTTTCGCTCTCTAGCGGGAATTTTTGAACTAGTCAATGTGGTGTTGCATACGTTGCCTAATTATTGTTGGTATAGTTATGGTAGGTTACTTTATAGCAATTATGTCACTTTCACTCTAAATAATCGACGCGTTTGTAACTAACAACCTACAGCCTTACTTATACAAATCAACTTATCAATGTCTTAGCAGCTGATTAACTAACCACTTATTATTCAACATATTATTAAGAGCTTAAACAAGGGTGTGACGCTACATAATTTCACAGCTATTTAAAACGTTGCTAACGTTTATAAGTAAACTAGATTTTGCCCGCGACTTTGCCCGCGTGGTCTAGTTTTAAGTTCAGAAAGAAGTCTAAGTCAAGTCAAAGTCAAAATAATCTTTATTCAAATAGACTTCTTAAAAGTATTTTGAATCGTCCAATATTTTTTTCCCTGCCACTCGTTCAGGACGTCTTTTGGCTGATAAGAAGAACGAGCAAAAAACTCACCAGCTCTAATAAGAGTAATGACATTTACAAAAACCATGTCATTACCAGATCAATACATTATAAACAGGAAATTCCATAAAAACTTTCACCTCCTAATCCTTAGGGGTCGAATTTTGTAAAATCCAATTTAAAAAAGAACCCGCATGCATAATTTTAAACTCCTAGCACTTGTAGTAACGAAGTTTCATACGAACTTTCATCTAATTTAGCCCCCTTGGGTTGGAATTTTCAAAAATCCTCTTATAATTCTCGTCTCCAATCCCTAAAGAATCTTCATTCCAAATATCAACTTTCTACGCTTATTAGTTACGACTGTACGTCGTCTGTCAATCAGTCACTCAGTTAGTCAAGAATTTTATATACGATATAAGTAAATATTGTTGGTAATGAATTGCTTAGCAGTGCCTTAATTTTAATCAACGTTTGTAAAGCTGCTGGTGTGTGTGCCAACGTGTTTGTAATATTTAAATTGATATGGGATAATTGTGGGCAACTGAACAAAATGGAGGTCTAGAGTGAGGGTTCAATAAAAGACAAAATTATAGCTATAGAATGTATTTACGTATACGGGCAAAATATCTTTAATATGAATAACAATTATCACCAGCCCTTTTACATCCCCACTGCAGGGGCTCAGGCTAGGGATGTTCAAATATCGTCGATATATCGAAAGTACTCGATGTTTCCATACGATATATCGGATTGATTCGATGTTTTGAAAAATATTTTTCCATTCGATATATCGAATATTGATACATTTATAACACAATATCGAATCGATTAAATAACGTTGACAGCTGACTCATGATGACAATAAAAGCTTAAGTAAATTTTAACATTACAACATTTTCACTTTGATTTTTATAACTTGACATCAAATTTTCAGACGGCCTAGGGCGAGTTGTACCCGGCAGCTAAGTTTTACCAAGCCAATTGCTAATCTTTTGTTGTAGCCCCATCTGTTTTCTTGTTTTCTATAATAAGATATTTCTCCACTAATTTTAAAAGGTGCATTTTTTCAGCAATTGTCAAATTAGGTACCCTGGATCTCTTCATTATTTTAGTTCGGCAGTACAAACGGTTTATTGGTATTTTTTAGTTATTAATAAACAGTTTTACTCTACTTTATGAATAACTAAAAATGATGAAATGGCGCGGCGATTTCAAAAAAATGTATGTTAATATTGAGTTTTGACAAAAACGATGATGACGTTTGTTTTTCTAGACAGATTTTATGGCGCCGGACTCTAGTCTTTTCATCAAAAACGGAACATAAGGAATTAATGGTGAACGAATAATATGCTAAATCTCGGTTTAGTTAAACTGGTCATGATTTTGGGATCTGCAAGATAACTTTATTTAGATTTAAGTTAAGTCGAGTTTAAGGCTAAGTCTGGATTTAATTAAATCGAGATTTTGGAAATTTTACTGCAAGTGGGCCTAAAAAAGGAAAACATTGAAATTTCCAAAAAAATACTCGATATTTAAAAAATATCGATGTTTTTATACGATATATCGAAAAACATCGATGTCAGTTCCGATATTTTATATCGAGTATTCATATCGATATATTTTTTTAGTGGACACACCTAGCTCAGGCCTTCCTTATGGATGGTTAAGGAGGATAGGCGATGACCCTTCACGCTGGCCCAATGCGGATTGGAGGATATTAACGACTGCAAATGCAGCCGGGACCAACGGCTTAACGTGCCTTCCGAAGCACGGAGTAGCTCGAGATAATAATTTTTTGGTCCCCCATCCCGTGACCGACCCTTGCGAAAGTTGCTTAACGACTACGATCGCGGGCCGCGGCGCTTATCCACTACGCCACTGAGCTACTCATTTATATACTTTAATTATGTAAAAATGAAACCATACTGCGATTCACAATTGGTAAGCGCTATCTATTATTCCAAATTGGAACTAATTATATTATGTATGTATATAATACATGTATACTATTTACTTTAAATTATGCTATATTGTTAAACTATATTTATTGATTTATAGTAATACATTTATTTATCTATATATTATATCTTTTTTATTTTAGAGTATGAACAGCAACCATAGCATATTCATTTAGAAGTACAATATTAAACTTAATAAAATGCAATCAATAATATTTGGACTTCAGGTAGATAGTACAAAACGCAAGTAATTGAGAGATTCATTAATCCAAAGAAGATTTCCCAAAGATCGAATGATACCATACCATACGTTAATGGTCAAAAATCATGTGTGTCGAGGAAAGCTAAAATGATATAAACACTCACGCTTGGGAATGTAACAAGAGACATGAGAACGGAGATAACATCGCTTGGAGATCTAAAAGTAAACCTGAAAATGGACTTTGACTTGAATTAATTATAATAAGTATCAATAAAATGATAAATGAATAAAGAAAAGGTGAATCTGTGAAGGTGAAGAGGAAACGAGACGAAGGCCAGTCAATGAGATAAATAAAGATAGGACGGTAACGTGTTGCAAGATGTGACTTGGTAATAGTTTTTTTTTTAATTAAATCTCCTTTTAAAAACCTATAAAAACTCATCTTAAAGGCAATTCATATGTTCATAAACTTTATGTCAAGCGTTAATTCATAGCAAATGTGGTTAATATAACTAACGCGAAATCGCTGTGCTATTTCAAAGTATACACAATCTTTTCATTAATTGACAGATATGTTATAAAAAGAAAGCAAATGATTCGTTTCGATTAAAAAGTAAATTAAACCATTTCGAACCTATAAGTTTTCGAACTAAACAGCAATTTTGAAAACCGTTTAACAATTCACGAAGTAATCGATGGAAATACATACCCTTTTAACATTAATATCCACCTTTTTAATTTTAAAGTCGGTAAAGATCGAGAAAGAATTGAATACTTTTGAATTTTATGTGATAATTTTTTATAAAGGTTCGTTTTTATATAATTACCTACTTATTACTTTTTTATATGACATTGATGTTCAAAACTAGCTATAAACAATGTTAAAATTATGGTTAACTATCTTTCCGCCAGCGGCTTCGCTTGCGTGGTCTTATATTATACATAAATACCTTCCTTTTGAATCACTCTATCTATGAAAAAAACCGAATCAAAATCCGTTGCGTAGTTTTAAAAATTTAAGTTTACATAGGGATAGAAAGACAGAGAAAGCGACTTTGTTTTATACTATGTACCTAGTGATGTACATTTTCAATTGGAACTTGTTAGTTATCCATTTGTTTATGTAGTTCAATACACAAACATGGAATATTTTACTAATACGTTTCATTACACTCACTGTTCATACGGTATGTTTAAGTTAATAACAAACACTAGACAGCTGTCGGTAAAGATACTTCGATTATAATATCTATTTAGTTCAAGGTTCTTTAAGGGATATTATTTTTTCGGAATATAAAGTTTCACTTAGCTATTTAATTTTGTTGCAAACGATACTTTCGTCAAAAAAAATCACTAAAGTTATACAATTTCACAGTATTTTTTTGTGTAGTTTTAGGTATTCTGATTAATAATTTCAAGGGATACTTTTTGCTCTTAGCTTCTTGAGAAAGCTTTTTATCTACATTAATATTACAAAGAGAAAAGATTTAGTTGTATATTTAAGTTTAATATGCCCCAAAACTACTAAACTAATTCTAAAAATCGTTCGCCTACGTGAAGAGTTTACGCGGACGAAATCGAGGAAAAGCCGCTAGCTATTCATAAATATAACTTTAATTATCTATTTAGATTGTATAAATTGTACTTAAACATTGATTGGTACAACAGGTAGAGTTATATCATTTCATTAGGTCATTATTAATTTAATAATTAATTGTAAAAAGGCAGCTTTTGTATGCCTACATGTATTTCAATCTCTAGCGTGTAAGGCGTATCCTTGGAGGTTATCCAAATTAATAAAACGATATATATTTTCCTACTATACACGTACTTTCATCGACTTATGATTAGATTTTGTCTCACTTCAATTAAATAATATCATTGCTAAAATAAATTTGTTACCAGAGCACCATGAAATGTAAGTGATCATTTCTAGAATGTACCTACAAAGATAGCGAGCGGGCTTCCTAGCAACTAATGCTGCCATGGTCCGATGATACCCTATGACCTCATATTAACTTCATTCAGTCTTCGTTTCTAGAACACAATATTTGTATAAATAATAATTATATATATTTATCGGTTAGAATGGTCCGTTTGTTACGTTACAACCAAATACTCGATGATAAGTACAACCAAATGTAAGGGTTTGGTATAGTGCTAATTTAAAATTAGGTGGGAAATATGTGGGGGGGGGGGATCCATGATAAGGATTATGCCTGTGTGGGTCCTCTCAATTGGGCGGGCAAGGACTGGAAATGCACAATTTCGCATTTCCAGTCTTTAGTCGGGGGCAGTTCGATCGGTTTGCGAGCTGGCCGGGCATTGCATGCCTTCGCCCAGTCTGGGGGTGCATCTCAAGTGTCTCTGAGTAGTACCCCCAACCCGCAGAAGAACCCGTCCTGCAAGGGGTGGGCCGAAATGGGGGCGAACAGCGCTGGCGCAGCAACAGCGAACTTCGGGTTGTCCCCGTGCATCGCTTCCATTGAGAGGGACATCGCTTGGTTTTAGTGGGTGTTACCCTTCTATTTGACTAGTCCCATTCCGGAGTGGGTCCGCAAAAGAGTCCCACATAACCCGCCGACACCGCGAGGGGGGAGTGGGTATGCATAACGCATTACCTAGCGTAAAAAGAAGGTTTGAAAAATGTATAGATTTTTCAGACTGACTTCTTTCTTTGAAATTTGCTTAAATTATTAAAATTAATTCACAGTGCATATAATTTTGATTAATTATAATTATTTCCAAAGCTTCATAAATATTTTTATTGTAAAAGTAATTTTGTATCAAATAAGAAGATCACTCAATTTCAGCTACAAGAATTTGTTTAAAACTTCAAATTGAAATGTCCTATTCGACTTAATTTTTTACCAAATAAATAGTTCTAAGAAAAAAGGTCTGATTCATGTCTGATATTATTAATTTATCTGTGTTGAAATAAAATAATTAAAAAAAAAAAAATGTTTTTCTTCGTGAGTTACCAACTCAATTTGTAATGTCTAAACTCTTTGTTTACTACAAACATGAACTAGAGGTTATCAAAAAAAACTCACTCATTAGTTTACTATTTCTCGTCGTAGAGATAAAAAATATTGATACATCGTTGCATCTGTGTGTATTTATCGAGAATTTTTGGACCAGTTTGTTTTATTGAGTTGAATAAAAAAAATAACGTTTGTTGTATAAGAGCCCCCTTAAATATTTAATTCATAATATTTTTTAGTATTTGTTGTTATAGCGGCAATAGAAATTGTGTAGATTTAAACTGACTATACCAGCCCAGTGAGTGCAAAAAGCTCACCTTTGTTGTATGAGATCTATCTTAAATATTTATTTTATTCTGATTTTTAGTATTTGTTTGTTGGAGCGGCAATAGATATACATCATATGTAAAAAAATCACGGTTTATGAGACATACAACCAGATAGCGAGGTCATAGTAATAGTAATAGGGTTCCCGTTTTACTCTTTGGGTTTGAATCCCTAAAAAACACATCTGTAATTATTTTTCTCTCATATCTTGACGGAAAAAGCGTCAGATGTGTCAACGAAAGTATGCGTTTATCGATGGGTCACCAAAATATTGTTTCTTAAAATTATTCAAAAACTTATATTTCAGGTTGATCGAATCTACGAAATCATCACCAGCCCTTTTACGTCCCCACTGCAGGGGCTCAGGCCTTCCTTATGGATGGTTAAGGAGGATGGGCCATGACCCTCCACGCTGGCCCAATGCGGATTGGAGGGTATTGACGACTGCAAATGCAGCCGGGACCAACGGCTTAACGTGCCTTCCGAAGCACGGAGTAGCTCGAGATAATAATTTTTTGGTCACCCATCCCGTGACCGACCCTTGCGAAAGTTGCTTAACGACTACGATCGCGGGCCGCGGCGCTTAAATCTACGAAATATTTGTGTTTAAATATTTCAGAACGTATATTGAAAGAAAGTATATATTCTGAAATATTTAAATACAAAAATTTCATAGATGCGATCAACCTGAAATTCTAGCAATTATCAGGGCCGGAAAAGTCATTTCTTTTTATACATTATTATCTATTCAGCAACTCAGCCATTGTTCAGAATTCTAAACAGTTTTATAAAAGGTGATAGATAAATTAAGTTACGTGTAAGGATAATATGTAGTAACCATCGCATGCTGATCCAATGCGGATTGGAGGGTATTGCCGACTGTAAATGCAGTCGGAACCAACGGTTTAAAGTGCATTCCGAACCACGGAATAGCTCGTGATAATATTTTTTTGGTCACCCATCCCGTGATCGACCCTTGCGACGACCCTTGAGTTAGGCCACCGAGCTACTCGCTACCATTTACCTCAAACTCTTGTACATGCTGGTGTGTATCGGCAGTCCAAAGTCGTCGTAGCCGACGGTCTCGGTGTAGACCCAGGTGCCGCCCAGCTGGGAGGCCTGCTCGAGGATGTCGACTCGCTCGACAGAGGGCTCCACCAGCAAGTGCCGGGCGGAACAGAGACCAGCAGCCCCCGCACCAAGTACGCATACGCGGGCCATCTGAAGTAAACATAATAATCGTTTAAAAGACTACAGTATATGTTATTGTACGAGAGTCGTACAAAAGGGTAATGAAAATGGCTTGGTTGGGGAAGAATAGGTTTAATAACAAGGTTAGGTAAGATTTGATAAAGGGGCACTAATTTTCCACATTTACACACGTACATAACTGTAGTCGAGAGAACTAATTACTCGAGAATATGTCATAATATATGCAGATATTTGAATGTAGAAAGACCTGTTAATAATAAGAATTTAATTGCTATTAACAAACACTTCTTATTTCTTTAAAATTCACATTTATTGGGTAAAAACATTTACTCAACTTATGATATTTTTTTTAGGCAATTACTTCTCTCGATTCGAATTTCGGACCCCAATGTCGATCTATTTTACAATCAACAGCACGTCAACTTATACAATGTCGTCAAATTTCTCCACTTGATTTTAGACGTTTAATACATAGAGGGTAAAGTTCAAAATGAATTGAGGAAACTTGACATATTGATTGTAGCCTGCAGCAGGGTGCATGAAGTGAAGTTTTCTGTTTTATTCCAGATCAAGTTTAATAGCGATGTAAAAATAAATAAAAAAATGCTATCATTGTGGATGCAAAATATCACAAAAGAAATAGAACAGACTTAAACTTAAAAAAAGTGAAAAATAATGCTATTAAAGTCGGGCGGAGGTTTTCTGTAGGTTTTAATTAATTTATATACAGATGGATTTATAAATAGGATAGAATCTATCCGATAGACGGATAAAACAACTTTTGCACTTAATAGTACGAAATTTATGTTTTTTAGTTTTTTAAATGATCTTATTTATTACACAAGAGAATTACGTATATACAGAAAATATATTAGACTCGTAGACTAGATTGGATTAGAAAGTTGTTCTATTAAATGAGTAATGAACGTGGAAAAAATATAAAGTAGATCATTTGTTTATATATTTTATTGCATTCTATTTTTAATCGTTGTTATATTTGATAAGACAACTTTCAAATAAATAATTTAAAGAAAAACAAAAATCCCGACTGCGTAAAAACGAATTTAAAAATATACATGAAAGAATTAACTTAAATAAAAACTAAAAAGAAAGAAAGAAACAAGTTTAGAATTCTGTTAAGTAATACAGAACAGAACGATTGATAGTCGGGGCCTATTCAAATTTTACCAATCAAATTTTCCCAAGGGGCCCCGACTGTGAGTCGTTCTGTTCTGTATTACTTAACAGAATTCTAAACTTGTTTCTTTCTTTCTTTTTAGTTTTTATTTAAGTTAGCCGGCCTAAGAGTAGCACCCCCCCATATCCTCCCGTGAGTGTCGTAGGAGCCGACTGAGGGATTATACGGAAGGCGGGCAGCAGCGCCTCCCGGTATCACCTACCACCACCTACTGCGATCCCCAAGTCGCCTGCCAAGCGTGGGGATTATGGCAACCCCCCCCCCCCTCATGATGGACGACAATGTTGTACGGCCCCCAGTCCCCGGCAGCCCCTCTATTCCTGTCTCTGGTAGCGGGACAGGTAACGGAGGGGCAGGGGGTGCTAAGAATCCCCGGCAGATTCGGCGCTACCAACACAAACGGACTCTGGCCCTGGCAACATACAATGTCCGCACACTGAGGACTGACGTGAAGTTATTAGAGCTGGAGGAAGAATTGAGCAAGTTGCGATGGGACATAGTGGGATTATCCGAAATCCGAAGAGAGGGCCAGGATACGGTAATCCTTGAGTTCGGTAACATGCTCTTCTTCCGGGAAGGAGATCAAAAATCTCAAGGTGGTGTTGGGTTTCTCGTCCACGTACCTTATACTCAGAATTACCGAAAGGTATTCGCTGAAGGTCATACAGGTTTACGCCCCGACCTCTTCACACTCCGACGATGAGGTAGAGGCTATGTATGAGGAGATTTCTGAAGCCATACATACGACCAATACCTACTTCACCGTTGTAATGGGGGACTTTAACGCGAAGCTGGGCGCTTCGAACGGCGATGAGTTGAGGGTGGGTCGATTTGGGTATGGGCGGCGCAACCACCGGGGCCAGAAGCTGGTCGATTTCATGGAGAAGGAGGGACTCTTTGCGATGAACTCCTTCTTCCAGAAGAGACCCTCCAGGAAGTGGACCTGGATGAGCCCTGATGGTTCGACAAAAAATGAGATCGACTTCATCATGACAACCAGAAAGCACATATTCAATGATGTCTCCGTGATCAGCAGGGTGAAAACCGGTAGCGACCACCGAATCGTTAGAGGCACATTGAATATCAATGTTAAGCTCGAAAGATCACGTCTGATGAAGTCTACGCTCCGACCTAGTGCTGCTCATATCGTGGACCCCGAAGCCTTCCAACTCCAACTACACAATCGCTTCCAGTGTCTAGCTGAATGCGAGTCTGTGGACGAAATAAACAACGGGTTTGCAGAAACAGTCCAAGCTGTGGGGTCTAAGTTCTATAAGGCCCCGCGCCGTATTAAATCTCAAAAGCTCTCAGACGAAACGCTCAAGTTGATGGCGGACCGGAGGGATATGAGACTGCAATCTTCAACCGATATGTCGGAATATGGTCGACTTAACAGACGAATTTCCAAATCGATGCGACGCGATCTGCGCTCCTATAACACTACACGTATTAGGGAGGCAATAGAGCGGAACCAAGGCTCCAAAGTGTTTGCACGAAATTTGTCTGCTGGGTCGAGTCAGATGACGAAGCTGAAGATCGACGATGGCAGGATCGTATCTTCAAAACCGGAGATCCTGATTGAGCTTGAGAGGTTTTATGGACAGTTGTACACATCATCACAACAACCCGTTGAAAGCAATGCTCAGGACACCAGAGCAAAGCTGACCCGACATCACACCGAGGATATCCCAGACATCAGCCTGTACGAGATTAGAATGGCACTCAAACAGCTCAAGAACAACAACACCAGAAGCGTGGCACAGAAGCGTGGTTGTGCTCTTCTTCAAAAAAGGTGACAAGACCTTGTTGAAGAATTATAGACCAATCTCGCTTCTGAGCCACGTTTATAAGCTGTTTTCGAGGGTCATTACGAATCGTCTCGAACGCCGGTTTGATGACTTCCAGCCTCCCGAACAAGCCGGTTTCCGAAAAGGCTTTAGCACCATAGACCACATACATACGCTGCGGCAGATTATACAGAAGACCGAGGAGTATAATCTGCCACTTTGCTTAGCGTTTGTGGACTATGAGAAAGCCTTCGATTCAATCGAAACCTGGGCAGTACTGCAGTCCCTCCAGCGATGCCAAATCGACTACAGGTACGTCGAAGTGTTGAAGCGTTTGTATAGCAACGCCACAATGTCGATTCGCTACCAGGAAGAGAGCACGAAACCAATCCAATTGCGCAGAGGCGTGAGACAGGGAGATGTAATTTCTCCGAAACTGTTCACGAATGCATTGGAGGACGTCTTCAAGCTCTTGGAATGGGACGAATACGGCATCAACATCAATGGCGAATACATCACTCACCTTCGTTTCGCCGATGATATAGTCATCTTGGCAAGATCGATGGAGCACATCAGTACAATGCTCAGCGACCTGAGTATCGTTTCCAAACAGGTGGGTCTTAAAATGAACATGAACAAGACGAAAATCATGTCGAATGTCCATGTTGCACCCGTACCGGTGGTCATTGGAACTGATACTCTCGAAGTTGTCGATCACTACGTGTACCTTGGACAGACAATCCAGTTAGGTAGATCCAATTTCGACAAAGAGGTCGCTCGAAGAATCCAACTCGGCTGGGCAGCGTTCGGGAAGCTACGCGATATCTTCACGTCCAAATTACCACAGTGCCTAAAGACGAAGGTGTATAACCAGTGTGTGTTGCCAGTGATGACCTATGGCACTGAAACGTGGTCCTTAACTGCTGGCCTCTTAGAGAAGCTCAGAGTCGCTCAGCGAGGCATGGAGAGAGCTATGTTAGGGGTTTCTTTGCGCGATAGGATCCGAAACGTGGATATTCGCCAAAGAACTAGAGTGACCGACATAGCTCGCAAGGTTTGTAAGCTGAAGTGGCAGTGGGCAGGCCACATCGCTCGACGAACCGATAACCGATGGGGACGAAAGGTTCTCGAGTGGAGACCACGAACCGGAAGACGCAGCGTGGGTCGACCCCCGACTAGATGGACGGACGACATCGTCCGAGTCGCGGGCGGCCACTGGATGCAGCTGGCGCAATGTCGTCCGTCGTGGCGTTCAAAGGGGGAGGCCTATGTTCAGCAGTGGACGTCTTCCGGCTGATGATGATATTCTTTCATGTATTTTTTTAAATTCGTTTTTACGCAGTCGGGATTTTTGTTTTTCTTTAAATTATTTATTTTTATTTTATACTTTTTAGTTACGATTCGTTGACTTCGTTATAAGATGGTCAATTTCGCAATCTAGTCATTTCATTGAGGGAGTTAATATCGTGGGGATTATTAAGTAACTTGCGGTGGTCTGAACTACTGATGATTAGTCCCTCTAGAGATCTAACTCGGCTCAAAGCTACATATGCTTTATTTTTTTACCAAAAATATTTGTTCTTCATGCTTTTTCACTGTTTTTTTTGTTTGTATATCGTTTATACTTTAAAAATAAAAACTTTAATCAATAAGTAAGAAAATGAGCGAGAATGTTTTTTAAACAACTTTAAATCGTTATATATCCTAAACTATCATTTAAAATGAAAAATGATAAAAAGAACCTAAAGATGATTTTAAAATACCCATTCAACGACACCCCACTTGACATAGTTCATCGATTTTTATTTTTTTCATTTAAACAATATGGCGTGTGGTTGTAGCTGTGGTGAATTTTGATTACTGTCATGTCTTTAGTGACACTCGCAAAGTTAAGACGAATCGATTGACGTAAGAATCATCAAAATCGGCCTACGCATTTGGTCTCTAGAACGCCACATAGAAACAAACATACATACATAGACTGATAAACACATTACCCTCCTTTGCGTCGCGCAGTCGGGTAA